TGCTCGCTGCGCTTCGAGCTGCCCGAGCGCTTCCCGGGGCCCGTGTGCCTCTACTACCAGCTCTCCAACTACTACCAGAACCACCGGCGCTACGGCGTCTCCCGCGACGACCTGCAGCTCAGCGGGGACGCCTCGGGGCTGAGCAGCCCAGCCACGGAGTGCAGCCCCTTCCGCACGGACCCCCAGGGCATCCCCATCGCCCCCTGCGGGGCCATCGCCAACAGCCTCTTCAATGACACCTTCGCCCTCTACCACCTGGCCAACGGCACCTTCTACCCCGTGCCCCTGGACAACCGAGGCATCTCCTGGTGGACCGACTCCAACATCAAGTTCAGCAACCCCGAACTCGTCAATGGCAGCCTGGAGGCCGCCTTCAAGGGCACAACCAAGCCCCCCAACTGGCCCCAGGCTGCCTACATGCTGGATACGGGCAACCCCAACAATACCGGCTTCATCAACGAGGACTTCATCGTGTGGATGCGCACCGCTGCTCTGCCTACCTTCCGCAAGCTCTACCGCCGCGTGCGTGAGGGCAACTTCTCCTCTGGCCTGCCCCAAGGCACCTACCGCCTCGACATCACCTACAACTACCCCGTCCTCTCCTTCCAGGGCACCAAGAAGGTCATCTTCAGCACTGTTTCCTGGATGGGTGGCAAGAACCCCTTCCTGGGCATTGTCTACCTGGTCTTTGGCTCCGCCTGCATCCTCACTGGCTTTGTCATGCTGGCTGTGCATATCAAGTTCCAGAAACAAAACCAGATGGATGTGGAATAGAGAGATGGAGTCTAAATGCTGCCAAACTTTGGATCTGAAGCTCAACTTCCTCCAAACTTTGCTGCTAGCATCCAGGCCTTATCCTTCTCTTTCACTGTTATAATTCTGATCTCAGTGAGTTTACTGTCAACTCTCACCAGTGTAAGTGAGAGCAGAATTGGGCCTTCCATGTCTGTAATGGGCTGAATGAAAACCTCCTTCTCCTTGCCACAAAACTATGGGAAAGTTCAAATCTGGTTAAAGCTCCAGACTAGTGATCAGAGCATCACTTGGTGTATATATCTGTGCACGTAAAGGATCACTGTCAGATTTTCTTTTTGCCTAACACAATTACCAATGTTTCTAATGACACCACAAACTTTTTTTTTTTTTAAGAGTGGAAGAATTTTAACCTGTTTTTCTTCCTACACTCTTCCTCTGTCTGGGTTTAACTTCTGTTTTTCTAGCCTCTTTCTACGAATGAAAGTGAAGCTTGCTAGTCTGTTTATTGATAGATTGTAGTCAATTGCATATTCAGTTTACCATGCATTAGCATAATGGCCTGCTGTTTGAACTGCAAACTTTGCAGCGGATTGTCTTTAAAATCTAATAGTATAATTTAATAATCTTAACATTTCCATTAAGTCTGACAAGATTTTTACAGGACCTGTATTTGGGGCCTAAATTATTGGTGCCTTTTTCTTTAAAGCAGTAAAAGGGACATTTGGCAATATCTTAGCAAGACCAAAGATCAGTAAGAGACAATTTTCACAGTGATGAGTGCTACCATATTGCTTGAGCCCAAGGTGTAAAACACTCACATAAAGAAGCATCACTCTGCTGGTCGTTGACTTGCAATTAGTAGATGTTTGTGGCTAACAATCCAATTGTCATCTGTTATAATTTTAAAAATACTTTTTTCTTTAATTTTTGGAGAGTAGGAATGTATACTAGTCCTTTATTGAAATGGAAAAAATTGAACTGGAGCTGTCCAAAAGGATAAACTTTAAGGTTGATATTAATCCTTAGTGAGAGACTATCTTGTGAGATACCAGCTGGGTAAATTGTAACAGTGATCCAAAGCCATTTCTCTTCCCTCTTTCCTTCCTCTCACTTGGGGTCATGCTGGTAGCTGCAGAGAGAGTAGCACCTACCCTGTATATAAGTGACTTTAGTCAATTTTGTTCAGAAGATACCTATTGGTAGCGTTGGTGGAGCCCACTTAATTTCACTTATCAAGCACTTATGGCAAAAGGCTCCTTTCTTTCTCTGCTATAGATTTATCTTCCATTAAAAAGGGTGGGAGGCTCTTACCTTGTCTATATGTTCTTTTTCTAAAAGATATTGCTAAGAATGGCATTAAATAACTTTGAGACTAGAAACACTTCTTATATGGCAATAAAAATTGGTCATCCATCTTGCTTATCTAAAACGTATAACATATAAAATAACTTCATAATATTTTCAACCAAAACATACCCAATCATGTGTTCAAAAACAGTGACCCCAGCTCGGAGAATAGTCTCAGTTCTCAAATATGTATTTTCTTGAATGTTTATATTTTGTTTCTGTCCTGTGAGGGTTTTTTTCCACCTCTTAAAGAGTTGAGTTGACAACAAGTTAAAGTGATGGTAGCCTTGGGGAACCATCACTTGATAGTGGTTGCTTATGAGAGGTACTCTGGTTAGCCCTGATTAGGATCCCTTATTAGATGTCTGAATGTCTGTGGCATGTAGATGATCTCTAATTCACAATGTGTGTATATTTGAAATCTTTGGGCAAGTGGGGAACCTCTTTTTAATTTTTCAAGTTGGGTAATTCTTACTCCAGAAAAGTTTCTTCAAACTGAATTATAAATGCAGGCTTATTACGACTTCAGAAGCAGTATCTTTTATACCAGTGCTGTGAACTACATGTCAGTTGAAACTTGAAAAGCTATGTAAAGCCTTAACCAAATTGCTTTTAGTTCTTTGATAATGCTTTGAAGTACACAAGTAATTGTCTGTCTGAGAAATGACTTTGCATATTAAATGAACGTTTTTTTCAAGCTAACAGTGGAACTGGCTCTGTGGAATGCTGTAAGTGCAAGAAAAGGCCTTCATATGAACAAATATAATAACAGTGTGTTCAGCCTATGGCCCAAATTCTGCTCTGTTCAACCCATGCAAATACCACTGAGGTTGCAAAGGTGTAAATGAGGGCAAACCTTGTCCTTTCTGTTGTTAACATTATTCTTGTTGACTATTCTGTTTGAAAAATATATTTGCCCTGCAGTCTGATTCATCTGGGAAGTAGTCTGTAGGATGCAAATATACGTAACTTCATTCTTTATACTAACTGTTAGGAATGTTAGCTGTCTGGATTGTGAAATGGGTGCATCACCCCACAAACTGGTAATGCTGCCGGTTTTGCTAGTATCTCTTTAGCTTAATAACTGATGTGGATCTTCTGGAAGCCAGCTTTGAGTGGAAAGGGCAAGCTCAACTTCAATAGGGACAGTGTAGGGCTTTTTGTGGAAAGAACTCAACTACCTAAACCTGCTTTAGTCCACATGCCTTCCAAAAACCTTCACAAAGTGCAGGCCAGCTGAGCAAACCTGCCTTGAGAGGTGGTGACTAGATTATGCATGCAGATGAAACGGAGGAAGACTTCATTGTAGACTGGAGGCATGATTCTTTCACTTACCCTGGTGTGCATAACTTCATTGAATCCATGGAGTTCTACTCTGATGTAACCAACAAAAATTAGAGGAGAATCAGAACCTTGCTGACTTATGAGAGGCTATTCTGCATAATTTTCAGTAACTGTTACTTGTCAATATTTTGTTTCCTCCGTATAGAAGACGTCCTCACTAAAGTACACCTCTACCTCGATATAACGCTGTCCTCGGGAGCCAAAAAATCTTACCGCGTTATAGGTGAAACTGCGTTATATCGAACTTGCTTTGATCCACCGGAATGCGCAGCCCCGCCCCACTGGAGCATTGCTTTACCGCGTTATATCCGAATTCGTGTTATATTGGGTCGCGTTATATCGAGGTAGAGGTGTATGTGTAGTTTAGTCCTATATTATATATCTTTCCCAGCATTTTAACTGCAGAGAGAGTAAAGACATACTTTTATTTCCCATTACCACCTGATGGATCCCTTCTAGTCTAAAGGAACTGGGGGTGACCCTCCTTTCTCCTCTCCCCCCAGTCCATTTTGATAACTTTACCTGATTCCTCTATTAATAAACAGCTCATTTCCCCCGCTGAAGACATAGTTAAGAGTTTGACAACATGAATGAATATTGAATTATTCTCTAGAAAGAACCCCATTCACTTTGTTAACTTTTTTAAGTTAAAAGGAGTTTATGGGGAGACTGGTAATTTTATTCATAGAGTGCTTGGGAGCAGTCAAGGTCCCAATTACTTAAAAAAAGAAAACCAGGATTACTTATTCTATATGGCAGCCAGCAGGCAGGAGCTCCGCCAGATTTTCCGCTGCCCTAGGCGGCGGAAGGTCCCGCCCCAAAATGCCTCCCCCCCACAGAGGCAGCGGAAGGTCCCACTGCCGAAATACCGCCGCGGTCACCCCCCCCCAAATCGCAGTGCCCTAGGCGACCGCCTAGGTCGCCTAATGGGTTGCGCCGGCACTGCCAGCAGGTGAACTTGTAAAGAATCCTTGTGACAGTTTCACTGGGTAGGGGTTTCGATCAAAGCTTATAATTAACATTTATGATGCACAATAAAAGGACAATTAAACAATGCTTAACGTATATCTTGGAATCCCATAAGGCTTTTCTTCTGTAGTAATGACAACAATTTTGTATTCACTTACAAATCCACTCATACTGGTAAATCAGGAAGACAAAGCCTTTCAAAATGGAACACAATCTGGGTGAGCTTTGGTTCTTATTGGTATTCTGTTTGAAATTTAGTAGCCTTATTTCTTGTACCTGTAATTTTGTGAGCAAAAGTAACTGGAGCAATGGTTTGTTGTTTATCCACTTACCTGATTGCCCCAGAATATTAAGTAATTACAGTTGCAAAATTGTGCCCACCAGTTACTTTGCAAGTGCAAAAAAGGTAATCTGGGTTTTAAAAACGGAACTGATTTTTTTAGAAAATGAACTACAATGTTCCAGTGACAGTTGTGTTAATCCCAAACTTGTGTTGATAACACAGATTGGGATTGGATTTTCAACACAGCAATAGGTTGATGGGGTGTTTTTGTTTTTTTGTTTTTTAAGATCTTAACTAAAATTCAAAACAAATTTTATTTGGAGTGTTTTGAAGTCCTCCATTAGAACAAGAAGATTTTCTTTCTGTCATTTTAAATTCTGCACTAAAAAGTTAATTCTGTTTAGTGGGATAATTCAACACGTCGTCTGGGATTAACTCAACTTTATTTTGAAGTTCACTTCAAAGGGTCCATGGTCAAAATGACTACATTCACTTGCAATACTATACAATCTGAAAATCTAGCTATCCTGTTTATTCTTTTTCTACTTCAGGGTTTGGACAGTGTAACTAGGCTCATAAATTTCACTTGTGCTTCATAGTTGCTTTCTAGTCAATATCCTTTCTAGGTTTTATGCATTAACACAATGCTCTTTGTTAAACTCCAGGTCATAAACTTGCAGAGGGATATTTCAGTAGGGGGAAATTAGCATGGGGAAATTAGTTTTTAGTTTTTGTTTCTAATTTCCCCATGCTAATTTCCCCCTGCTGTTACTCACACCTTCTTGTCAACTCTTTGAAATGGGCCACCCTGATTACCCTTACAAAAGTGATTTTTTTCCTCCTGTTGATAATAGCCCACTTTAATTGAATTGTCTCATTAGAACTGACCCCCCCCACTTGGTAAGGCAACTCCCATCTTTTCATATACTGTGTATATATATCTTCATCAGATGCATGGAGTGGAAAATACAGTAGGAAGTGGGTTTTAGCCCACGAAAGCTTATGCCCAAATAAATGTGTTAGTCTCTAAGGTGCCACAAGTACCCCTCGTTTTTTCTGTTTTTCAATTAACTCTAACTGTTAACCAGGGCTTCAAGCCTTCCTCCTATAATGCTAGTAGTCACTGTCTAGGAACATGCACTGGCTCTTTCACTGGTATCTATATTAAGGCTTGGTATGAAAATATAAATTACTATAATTTACTATTATGATTCAGGTACTAGGGGTGAGGGGAGCTTTATAACTTTATCTAATTGATCATACTTCTTAGTTAACCGAAGTCAATGTTAATGGAGGGTACAGTGATTTCCAAATGAGTTCACCAAGAGAGGAAGTGTGGAGTCTTTGTTATACGCTAATATTTTGAGGCTTGAGTTTATCTATTGGTTTTGACCCATCTGTGTAACATTTAAAAACTAATAGCAAAGAAAAATGCATTGATGCTGCTAATTTTAAAAATAGAGGGAGGGAGGGAGGTGTATGGTGGGGGAACCTCCAAACAAAGTGATTAATTATTTAATGTTGCCGAGATTAATCAGAATTAAGGTTGAGACATTCAGGCTCAAAGCCCATAGAGAATTCCTGAACTATATCTGGTAATCTGAACCTCCTCCCTGCCACCAACCACACGCTTCCTGTACAGTCTCTTATCTCGGCCTGCCTTTGAGACTTCCAAGTTACAATATCAATGTAGCCTCAAGAGCAACATGTCTAAAACTGAATTTATCTTTTTACCCCACCGCACTCCTTACCCAACTTCTTTCACTTTCGCTACCTTTCCTCCATTCCTCCCACGTACTCATATACACGTTCTTGGCAAGTCTTGTGACTTCCTCAGTGAAATCTCTCAAATCCTTCCTCCTCTCTACTTCCAGCAGCCTTGCTCATCTTGCCTCAGTTATTGGATCCTCCTTTGCAGCCTCTCCCCTCCAGTCTATTCAGTACACTGCTTCTAAGATAATCTTTTTGTCCCTGCATCTGACTGCATCATGCTCTTCAGATCCTGTCACTGACTACTCCTCTCCTCCTGCATCAAGCTCAGCCTCATTTTTTCCTTCAACGCCTTGCAGTACTCTGGCCACTCTTGCATTCCTGCATACATCTTATACTATATCCCCCCCCCCCCCCCCACACACACACACTTCCTTAAGATGCTACTATATGTGCATATGCAAAGTGAGGGCCTAATCAAAAGCTCAAAAATCTTTGAATTGAGTCCAATAGCTTTTTGGTTAAGGTCCACGATACATAAATGTAATCACACAACTGCTGTTAATGTTACCGTGTAAGTATGCACAGGTATGTGAGCTTGTATCAACAGAGTTTCATTGTGGAGTTATGTCATTTTGAAGTAAAATGGAGGAAAAATAAAACTCTACTTAAAATGGGCTGTTGCCTGGAACTAAAACCTGTTTTGTTGCCTGTCAGGAAGAGGCAAGACTGTCATTAATGATCAGTATCATGTTTGTGTGAAAGGACAGAAGAATATTAATGTTTTAATCAACGTATCCCTGGCAGATTCCTTTGAAGACACTGGAGCTCACCTAGAGTATCGGAATAGGTATATAAAAGGTATATTGGATGGCTCAGTGGTCATTTTAGCATCCACGACTGGGGAAGTATTTTCATTGTTCAGTAGCTTCTTGAGGATACTATTAAAAGAATTCTCGCCCCTTACCCCCGCCAGGAAAACCAGTCAGGACAGCTCCATCTCCACTTAAATTAAGATAACATACCCACTCAAATGTCTTTTAAAAACATTTTTTAAATCTTCCAGTATAAAAAGTAATAGTAAATGACAATAGCTATGGCAGAATCATGCAGTAAGTGTCTTAGTGCTAAAACTGTGTTCCTCGTTACAGAGGAGATGAATCTATTCAGCTGTTAGTAGAAGGAAAAAGTGTCAATGCAATATCAACAGCCATGAATCAGGGTAGTTGCTGTCTGAAATAGAATGTCAGGATATATTTGGGAAGATATGTTTGAACTACGTGCAATTCCCCCAATCTGTAACTCTTGGCTAAAATTACATCTCATCCAAAAGATGTGTAATTTCTTATAAATGAGGCCTACAGCACTTGTGACTATTCAACTTTCCATGA